ATCCCAATTTCTGCTTTTATATGCTGAAGTTATGAGCAGATCATCATCCCATTATTTGAGGTAAATCCAACCTGATAAAAAGCATCTAAAATAACTGTTTGTATTCTCTGTGTTGTTTCAAGGTCTCAACTCTAAACAACACATTAGCGATGCCAGACGCTCTCCGTCGCCTTCTCCATTTAATTCTTCGATTTTCAGTCTGTTTTAAGAGAATAAACTGGGGAAAACATTTCATATCCAGTGAGTGAGCGAGTGAGCACTTGTTATTTTAACTGAGAAAGCTATCATGTACGCTCACTCAAATGTCTTGCAAAACATACCTACTTTGCAAACATCTACAAAACTGAAAATGGTTTGATGCTTCGCAGATTCAGCTCCAGTAAACAGTGTTTTGCATGAATGGGAGAAGGAGATTTTTGTGAAGCTACAGAACTCAAAGAGGACTGTTTTCATTCATAGCATTTGATATTGACACATGTGAGAATGTCAGTGTTTTAGTGATGTAGACTGTGCACGTATGAAGAGGACTGCAGAGCATAATGAGAAACATGAGGAAGGAGAACTTAACATTTGAAGCAATGAACAAAAGCAGAAAGAACACATTTTATCTATTAAATGTAAACGTTAATTTTGTCTTTAGTCTTGAATGAAATGTGAGACAAAACGGTAAGGAATGGTAACGGGAATGGTAATTAAGCAGTACCAGCTTTCTTTACTTTTCTGTTTTATTTATTTTATTTATATAGCACATTTCATTCAAGAGTTTGACACAGACAGGGCCATTCTGAGTGGAGTTTGCATGTTCTCCCCGTGTCTGCGTAGGTTTCCTCCAGGTACTCCGGTTTCCCCTACCACTAAAAACATGTGCAATAGGTCTGGCATGCGCCTCCTGCACTGGCGACCTCACTCTCTGTGTGGAGTGAGAGACAAATGCCCAAAAAATAACAATTGTAAACCGCTTTGTGACTCTGGTCTGTGAAAGGCGGTATTTAAATATACCGAAAATATGTAAACAATACAGACAAATATCTCAAAACGTGAATTTATTGGACCGTTTTGTTTTGCATGACACAAAATTGCTATCTGATTTTTTTTGTTAGTTTATTGATCTTGTTTTTGGAGGTTCATAAGCTTGAAAACAATAAGTGAAAAACACACCTGGAGTTGTGTTTAGATCGATCCACGCTAATATCTGGACCTTCTGTCTAAATATTCCTGTCTCAGTTAGGGCCGGACAACATGGCTGAAAACTATATCACAATACAAGTGATTCATCAATAATTTTCTTTTTAAACCTAAATAAATACATTTGTCGGGCGCGTCAGCAGCCCTTGTTTACAGTCACGGGGGAAAGAGAACTCAGGCTGGAGGCATATGTTCACAAGCACTGTCCCCCATTGTCAGTCCTGGTTTATCGAGTCGTGCAATTGACACAGCATTGAAACACAACGCACCCTATAGATCCATGGACGCAATGGTCCGGTTGTTGTTGCAATTTTTTTGTGTGGCATTTTCCAGAATACTTCTCAGTTTATCCTCAGCCATGATAGGTCGAGAAGCCCCTGCCTACGTCCCCCAGAATGCCATGCGCTTCTGACTTTTCTTCCTGTTTTTTTTTTGCAACAGTTAGTGTTGTCCCGTCCCTATGTTTGATTGTCTGCCCCGCCCTCATGTATTTCACCTGTGTCTCTATGTGTCTATATGTACTGTACCTGTGCTCTTCCCCATTTGTTGCTGGTCCATTGTCCATGTTAGTCTGTTTTCCTGGTTTCCCCGTTTCGTTTGGATTTTCGAAGTTTGTTTATACCCTGGACCTGTATGTATTCCTAAATTAAATAATATTGTTTTGGCTTTTCCGCATTTCGGGCCCTTCCTTGGATTCACCACATGACAGCTGGTTCAGCAGATAGTCTTTCTTCTAATTGTTTGCATCCTCATCAGCCACCGTTACCTCACCTCATATGAATCTCTGTGGCGTGCACGCTCGGCCCTGAGTGCTGACAGGAAGCTGATGCGTGGAGCTTTTAAACAGCTCTGTATCTCTCATTCATCAGCCACTTCCTACATCCAGGGCTTTCATGCAGGTACAATAACAACTATCGCCATATTTTGTCCCGGGCTGTCGAGTGAATGTCTAGAGGGCTGTTATATTCAGACAAATGGATGCAACCGCAGGCTAAGACAGAACAAGAGGGGAATCGGGTTGGCAAGTGTGAAAAACGGTGCCATCCTGAGTTGGTAAATGTATTTGTTATGTTGTTCTGTAATGGTGGTTAAATGGGACTCCCACATCTGCCCGCATGCGCTCCGAGGTAAACAAGTCCCTGAGACCTATACTGCAATGGCACAAGCTGGGAAATGTGTAGCAGTGACAAGCATTTTAGGGTAATTTAGGTGTATGCAAATGTAAACGATTTAAAATATGCTCATCTGCGGTGTCATACTTGGTTGTTTTAATCAGAAACATCAGATTATTATTATTATATTATATTATTGAACAGCCCTAAATCACAGCAGCATTCACCTCAGTGGACTTCACATATTCATAGATTCGGATTCATTTACAGTATTTGCCATTTTCAGTAAAACCACATTGGAATACATCCGCAAAAGTCTCCGCAAAAGGAAACAATTGAAGAGTGAAATCAATCAACTAAAACAGTTTCAGTAAGTGCTAGATCATTAAAGTGCTCTGTTTAAACTGATAACAGCTTGTGGAATGAAGCTTATCAACGAACGAAAGGAAGAAGCTGGAACATGGCTTTTCCAGGGTGACCAGAAGAGTCATTGATTATTCTAAGAGCTCTGTTTAAGAGTCTGGATTTATAAAGAACCTCCAGAACAGGCAGCTCACAGCCCATAGTCCTCTTTGCAGAGCGGAGCACCTTGTTTAGAGCTCTCCTTTGGCTGTGATACAAACACAAACCACACAGTCACAGAACCAACAGGCAACCTTTCAACCTTTGGTGCAGATCAGAGAATCAAACAGTTTGAACACAGGAAATGCAATAATAGCAAAGGTCCATAAGTTTATTTGCATATTTCTTGTGCAATATCTGAAATTGTTCCATCTATTCAATATGATGGAAAGGATGTACAACAGGATATGTTCTCTGGTCAATACCCAAACTTTAGATTTATTTTTTTCATCTTGTCATCAGTGCTTAAAAACAAATGTGTCACCTACAACCTTCCCCCCCCATTTTTTCAATTTTCCAACACAAAATCACACAAATGAAAGTTGTCTATTCTTTACCACTAGAGGGTTATCTACCAATACTAGTAAAAACAAAAACAAAACAACAAATATGGAATGAGACAAGAACAAACACAATTTTGGGTTGTTTTTTTAGGATCGTGGGGAACAAAAATCAACCAAAAATGGCAGCTCATCGGCCAGTCTGATAAAACAAGGACAACATAATGAATGATTTATATTGTTGTGTTATGGGCTGGCAGGGGTGTAATGCTTTATGCTGGTCACAGGAGATTTATGCTGGTCACAGTCAATTATTGACATTGTCTGTGTCCTGAATTCTTTATTTCATTTCAATAGACCCCAACATTTTTGACTGAACTTTTTATTACTGTGGGGAAATAAAATATATTTGGACGTGTTAATTCAACAGTAACTCAAGACAAGTATATATATATATATATATATCATCATGCATGTATTTTACGCATGTAGTAATATATAACACACACATTTTTCGTTTGCCTGTCAGAGTGACTTTATGCGAGTTCCGATTTAAACATGCTGCAATATGTGTAGAAATGTACAAATGAAACCAGTATAGGTCAGTTCTTGTAGCGTCAGGTCCATAGCACACCAAAGATAAAATACCAGCACTTCTATTATAGCGCATGTACAGTATTCATGTTTGTATCCATCCACATGACTGTATGTATTAAAGGCATAAGTCATCATTGTGCTGTTGCCCACGCTGAGGATGTGGGCGCCGAGGACGTCCCTGGAGACCTGTTGTGTGTCGCTTTTACAGAGGTGATGATGCTTCGTGCCGCTGGTCCCATGGTCTCATTAAAGCTTTATGGAGCGAGCTCAGCACACGTTTTATTACGGTGACGCCGCTGTCTGGCACATCCCTGTCCTGCGACTGCGTGTGGGGGGATGACCGCGTTATAGCAGGGGTCGTGAAGAGCCAAAACAAAAACAAATCCGAGGCAACAGAGCCACAAAAACAGTCTGTAGACACTGCAGACCTGTGTTTCCTGACCCGGGAACGACTTGGGAAACTGAGGCAAGTTCTTATAACCTGCCACAGGCTTTTTACTGCGGAGAAGACAGAAACATAATGTATTTAAAGAGTCACTGAGGGGGTTTTATTTCAGCAATTCAGAAATGTTGTTGTATTCAATGTTGCATTTCTAATAAAAACACTTACACTGTATTTAAATCATACATTTAAAAAAGAACCAAATCAACATTACAAAGTTACAGCGCAGTGCACCCGGGATCCCACGGAATCTTTTTATAATGGACTTATCCAAGTTTATGGTCCATCTATAGCAGAATATGAAGCTTTTCAAACAACAGACAACTTTGTAAAGAAAATAGCACCCAATCTTTGTCGGTAAAAAAGAGCTTCACTCTTGTTACGCAAAGTATTGTCCCTCATGCGGCTTGTGTGTAATTTTATAACCGTCCTCAGTTATAACTATATTATATATAAATAACTATAAATTATTTTCCTCAATTTGGAATGACCATGTCCTACGTAGATTTGAATCCTATCCAATTTATTTATTTATAGGGCACCTTTCAGAAACACACAGTGAATGTATAGGAAGTTATGATACATTTGTTCAATTACAATGCTGTATAAATCTATTCAGAAAAGCTTTATTCCTATATTTATTTTGCTAGCTCATGAGAATTAGCGAGATCATTGGACTTTGAGGATTTAGCCAAGTACAAAAAACAAACTGCACTACAATAGATTGATAGTTTTAGTTGTTTTTTTTCAGTTAGTCTAAAAATGAGGAGGAAATATGGTAATGACGTGTTCCTGGGCCCAGTCGAGATGGGCAAGAGACCGAGCCTGTCGAGGGCCTCGTCTGTGTCGAGGATGGGAAGGGCCAGCTGTGGTCCACCTGAGATGTCCAGGGCCTGCAGTATGTCTCTGCTGCTGTCACCTGGGCCGCCAGCTTGACTTACCAAATATATTATTGTGTTGATGTGTGACATTCCCAAATCCTATGAAGAAATCATGCAGTGAACCTTCATATTTACAGAAGGATATGATTCAGATCCCACATCTCATCTCTGCACAAGGCATTCTTATCCCTCTTATTGTGTTGCATAAGCTTTTGATTTCAGCTACAATGAAAACCAAATACCCATCAGCCACAGTAGTAACTATTTGTGTTGGTTATTTCACTTATTCCGGGAATGTCTTTAGCAATCATCCAGAAAATCCTCATAGACGGGAGAGTCATTGATAGCTCAAAACCGGAGGGTGAAAGTCGATTCACCAAGGAAACGACTCATCTCCAGAGCATGAGGCTTGGCTTGTTTTAGGCTGAGAATACTGCCTGTTGTCCATGTCTGGTTGATCAGGGAAAATCAGAGAGGCTGGGAGCATGCTTTTCTTGGCAGCCGCTGAGAATGATTTACCTCAGACTGGTCATCTGCTGTAGCTATATTCTTCTAATGATGTTTCTGCGTTCCTCGGCCATTCAGTGTTCAGTCATTTACTGTGTCCAAGTATTTCCCCAGGGGTCTTTCAGTCTAAATCAGACTATTTGCTAACAAGCTGCTGTTAATGAATGGTAATGATCAATTAGAACGATATGCTAATCCAAGGATCCAAGGCATTGATTATATTAGTGGAAATGAAGTAACAAGTTAGATCTCTAAGATTGTGTTATGACTATCGACCAATGTTTTACGTTTTTGAAGTAGTGTCAGAACTTCTCCCCATCCAGCCAATATGCCATGGCATGTTGTACCTCAGTTAGGTGTTTTTTCAGGTAAACAACCTCATCCTTTATTTTACTCTAAACAACAATGCAAAAACGTATTAAGGGTCGTCACGGGTAGTGGTTATAGAGACACAACTAATCCATTATTTATACAATTAAAAACACTGAGATTTAATGAACTAGTAGAGTATAACTTGCTGAAAATTATGTATAAAGCTCATCTGGACAGTTTACCCATGAATTTGCAAAACAGATTCACCAAGAGAAAAAGTAGATACGAATTAAAAGGAACAGAGATCTTTAATAAACCCAGGTTTCAATCTTCTGTAAAGGAAAAATGTGTCTCAGTCAAAGGAGTCGATCTGTGGAGCAGTCTGTGTAAAGTCAAAACTTCTTGGTCCGATTTTGTGTTTAAAAAGTCTGTAAAATTATTGATGTTGCAGAAATACACCACTGTGGATCAGTAACCTTTATTTTGTGTTTTGAGCTTTGAGTTTGGAATTGCAGAGTTGCATTAGAGGCTCAAATGCACTGGAACTGTAAAAGATTTTGTGTTGATAGGAGGCAGATATTATAAGTGTTTACTTCTTTCTGCTCCTTTTCATTCATAGTAAATGCTGTTGTTGCATTTGTTCTTAAATGAATGAAATAAATAAAAAAATGAAAAATGAAAAAAAAAATAATAATGAAAATGCCATGGCATGTTGTACCTCAGTTAGGTGTTTTTTCAGGTAAACAACCTCATCCTTTATTTTACTCTAAACAACAATGCAAAAACGTAGTGAGTAGCGATTAACATTAAACAAAAAAGTGTTAAAACCAAGAACTTTTAACCTACTGTTAAAAAGTAAATACACAAAAAACCAAACGGACTGAACCTTTGAATGCTTTCCGCTCACTTTGACTCAAGAGACGAGAGTTCTGACAGTCAGTGCTTAAGCTTTTAAATGTGTTAATGTACGTAGCTCCTTGTTTTACCCATGTTACACTTTACACCATCAGGTTTATGTCTCGTCATTGACAGGGGCTGACCTTTTCAGATTCAGATTCAGATTCATTTATTTGCCATTTGCAGTAAACCACATTGGAAAAACTGTGCAAGACTACCCCAGTGTGCACCAGACGATACACACCAGAGCTCTTGCTTTTTTGGCTTTTTTGGCCAGGCCCCCCTCTGAAAAAGATTCAGATTCAGATTCAGATTCATTTATTTGCCATTTGCAGTAAAACCACATTGGAAAAACTGTGCAAGACTACCCCGGTGTGCACCAGGGTGTACTCAACTGGTGATTACCTGGTTAAAAGAAGGGTATATAAAACAAATAAAAAACAGAACTTCCACAAATAATACACTGGATATCTACATTTTCCTCTCCTTCTCTTCTTTACATATAATTATATCAATAAGCACATGCGCATTACTACTACTACTCCATGTTTATTTGCAGCCTTCAAAAAATAAAACATTAATAATAAATGATAATAAAATAAAAAAGAAAATTCTACTGTTAAAATTGTCCATTTCGGAGATCATCCAGTCCAACTTGTTTAAGCTTCGGCATCGGCATCAGAACATTTTTTTGTCACCTGTAATGAACACCAATATCTCCATGGAGACCGACCTGCCACCAGAGCCGTTGCGCGTCACGGCTTTAACGGCAGCCATTAAAATGCAGATCTCGGCGGAGTCTGTTTACATTTGGAATTGCATGACACAGCTCTTCGCCCAACGATACATGCTAAATATGCCAGCTGCGTGAATACAAGACAGTTAGCTGGTAGTCTAATCACAGGCTGGAGCCCGCCTTATCTCCTTGCGGGGTGTGTGCGACCTCGGTTTGTTTAATTGCCCTGGGCCAAAGCTGCATCGCGCCTTGTGTTTACCCCCTCCACGGCTTACAGCTGATAATGGAATTACTGTGAGTCCCCGGAGAACGAAGAGAGGCCCCAAAGAGGTGAGGAGCAGAGGAGAGGGAGCCGAGCGACCGAGCAGCAAGAGGAGAAAAATCAATCCTATCACACAATTTCAGCGGAACAACGTAATGCCTCCAAATAGTGGCTCAGTTAAATATAAACAGACTGTGGAGAGATGGAGGAGAAAAGAGTTGGCTGTGCAGTTGTACAATGTCTGAATGCATTGGTCTTTTCGCCTTTATACCTCCTTTCTGATTGGGGCACCACTTGTTTGTTGCTATGCATGGTCTGGTCCATTTCAAAAATGTTGGGTGAGTGTTGGGGAGTAACGGAATACATGTGACGCCATTACGCAGTCAGAATACTTTACATTTTCCGTTAGTTACTACATTAAAGTATAGTATTTAGAATTGAGTTACTTTTTGAAAATCACTGGAATATGTACTTTCTCACATTACATTTATAAGGTTAAAACAAAAGAAAATGTTGTGTATTTTTTAAGTTTTTTGTGGTTGTTAAATGTTGACTTGTTTTACAAAAATAGACAACAAATGATTGAATAATTACAGAACACATATTTATATAAACAAATATTGAGGTTGTGGTTTATGGCTTTTGGTTGTGGTAAATATTTGAATTAACCTTTAAGTTTTGTTAATAAACATGAATTTATAATGAATATAAATTATACAAAAAATAAAAATAAGTATTTATCTATCACATCTCTGAGTATGTATTTGGATTTTCCCCCACGCTGGGAACTGTGATGTCCAAGTGTCTCTCTAATGTGCTTATTTGATTTGATTTGATTTTCACTTTAACATAACCATACAATGACCGTACAAAATCCGATGGTCTCAGCTTTATATCCAGCGAGTATGACTGATGTGTCTTACGGCCATTTCCCCAATTCTTTCATCACCTATTTGCACCCGTTTTTATCCCCCGACCCTTACCCCAACCTTCACCACAACTCTTTTACCTTAACCCTAATCTTAGAAATGTGGAAGCATAGAGCCCTGGGAACATATGGATGACCCTTTGATGTGCCAGAGTGGTCGGAGTCTCGCTTCCGTCATCACCGTGTGTGGAGTGAATGGGAAAAATGCCTGTACTCCAAAAAATTGTAAAGTGCCCCGGGGTCTGTGAGATGCACTTAAACAATTAAAATGACTCACTTACTTGCCCAGTGTGGTTTTATGTACAGAATGAAACGTTCTGGTTTGAACAATGAATTTAAGTTAATATACGTCTTGTAAACTTTGTAAGTATAAGACCATGTATGGCTGTGTTTTTATTTGTACTGTGGTCTATAAGTTCAGGGTGGACCTCACAAAGTCCGGTTCAGTTCAGTTCAGTCTGTTTCTTTGAGCTCAGAGAAATACATACAGTTGACTCAATGAAAAAATACCTGAGTGTTTGTTTAAGTGTTTTGTAGAGCAGCACGGTGGCTGAGTGGTTAGCACTCTCGCTTCTCAGCAAGAAAGTCCTGGGTTCGAATCCCGGTCAGAACAGGGCTTTTCTGTGTTGAGTTTGCATGTTCTCCTCGTGTCTGCGTAGGTTTCCTCCGGGTGCTCCCTACCACGAAAAAAATGCACAGGTATGTATGCAGTGAATGGATGGGACTTTGTTGCGCCAGTGAGTTCGGCGTCTCGCTTCTGTCATCACCGGGTTTAGAGTGATTGCAACATTATCTGAACTCTGAACATTGTAAAGAGCTTTGGGTGACCTTGGTCTGTAAAATGCGCTATATAAATAAACCTTACTTACTACTTACTTACAAACAAGACAAGGCAGACGCAATAAAAAATGCATTAATTGCCTATCCTTTCTACTCCATTGTCAGATATTGATTGATTCTGCCCAAATAAATAATTAGCCATTCCTATTAAGTCAAAATTAGGATGTAAATCAGCACCAGAGACTATACCGTACATGGTCCAAGTCTTAACTGTGCCTCACACCATAACAGCTGTGATGGCAAGATTGCATTTGTTTTTCTTACTTGACAGATTTGACAGACTTTCTGGCCAATGCACTGGCTAAAAACAAGGCTGTGATACTTCCTGCGCTGGAGTAACAAAAATCTGCAGTCTTTTCCCTTTACTCCACCGCGACGTGGCTGAGCTAAAATCAGCTGCTGCCACCGAGATTCAGGCTGAGAGGATGAATGGACGTGAAGAGAGAGAAAATGGAGCCTAAGAGGATGAGGGAGACAAAAAAGAAAACACTAGGGGGGCTTCAAGTGAAAAATGGAGTGACAATCTTTGAAAGTTTGTGTGCTGTTTTTTCCCCTCCTTACACATCCTCGTGACTGTATTTTTATTTTTTTATTTTTTTTACGATTGCTTTTTATAGACGTCAGAAGTTTTCACTCTCGTCTGTCATGGTGCAGCGCTGGAGGGGTTGTGAAGCTGACTCGGTGTGCTGTAGTGGAAAATGACTTGGCATCTGAAGTGAGCTTGTGCATCGGTCAAGGGCCCTTCCAGTGAGTGCGTAAGGGATGGATGGCCCGAGTTTTCAGGAATAGACTCCAGGCTTTCTTTTGGAAAAGTGTGGCAGAGTAATTAAGTTAACAACCCGTCGAAGGTCAAGGGTAATTCTTTTTAAAGTCGTTCTGTCGGTATTGAGCAGAATGGAACCGAGCCAAAACGCAGGCTTTTTATAGTGTTGTGTCCTTTTAAAGAAGACGTAACGGGTGTGTAACTTTGGACATTGGTTGTGTTTGCACTCCTCCTTTTACAGTTGTGGACGGAGAGCTAAAGGATTGATGGTCTCTATAATCAGTGTTTGTTGTGTGGGATTATAGTTCCAGCTAAAAGGTAGTCCAACAGTGATATATATTTCTGGAGAGCAGCTTCAGTGACAGACTTATTCATCCTCGCTGTGTGAAGGACAGGTTCCGCAGGTCCTTCCTCCTTGCTGTTGTCAGACTGCACAACGAGAACTGATGAGTCTATACACGTGAGAGTTTTATTTCATTCTATTTTGTTATTTTATCATAATCGATCGTGTTTGATGTGTGCAATCTGAGTGCTCTTATTTCCTAATTTTTATTCTGCTCAAGTGTGCGCAACGATGACATGGAGATTTCCGCACTGTGGGACCTTCTCTTATCTTATCTTAAATAGTAATCTCTAATTTATGTTATTTTCTGTGACGTCTTTTTAATCTGGACCTTGTGTCTGTAATAACATGTTTTAATAATATATTAAAAGTTTTTGCAGTGGTAACCCTCTGGTGCTCCAGGATGAAATGGTCTGATTTTTCCCTATATTTATAATTTACAAGAACAATGAAAAATGTATTTACTTCTTTTTGATCATTTCGGACTCAATATTTTTTCTTGATGACTTGAAGTTTGCGTTTTCCCTGGTGCAAATATAACCGAACGGTAATACCCTGAAATATCTTCTTGTCTAATTGTGAATGGAAATGACACCTAAATTGTCGTCAAATTCAATGTCAAGTTTATTTGTATTATTGAACTACATTATACAGTCAAAAACGGAAAACCTCGCACAACCGACTCTGTGAGAGGTGCGTTAGAGCAGGCTCCGCACACAGATTTGCCAACTTTGACAAGGAAGAAAACAACACTCGCACACTGTACTTGCAGACACCGGTGATTTTTTTATTTACAGATGTGCAACGATTCTGCCGTGGGCCTTCGTCAGGCAAGCAGTTTTCTCTATTATGATGAGCCATCTTCAATAGGGTGGAGCTGCAACATCACATGGGTCACTCAAAAGAAAAATCATATCACAAATACCTGTACGTGTATAACAGCAGGACGTGAAAAAAACATATTTGCATCAGAATATGATGTAAGTCACTCTGTCAAACATCCATTAGCTTAAGAATTTACAGCTAGCTAAGAAACCTAGAAGCTACTTACATCGTATATTTTGTGTGCTCCCTGTGTTCTCTTACTACTGTCCTGTATGTGCGCTGCAACATTGAAGTTTCCCCACTGTGGGACGAAAAAAAAAAATCTTATCTCTTACATACTCTGCAATCCCAAAAAAACACAGACATACATTGAGCACCAGTTCATCTTTTATTCCCTTTGGTGAGAGAGTTTGTAAGTGTTCCATCTAGTACGCCTCCCTCTGTTTGAGACGCTTGTCATAGTCTCCTCCTCTACAGAACGGAGGGACCTGTTCGATGCCTATGAAGCACAGAGTCCTCACATCATGGTGGGCATCCTTGAAGTGTGCTGCCACTGGGTTCTGTCATTTCTGCGGATTTTGTGTTCACCAATGTATGTTTCAATTTTCCTTGTGTTTTTCCCGACACATGCCAATTTACAAGGGCAGCAAAAGAGATACACAACATGAGTGGATGCACAGATGATCGTGCTTTTGATGGACATTTGCGTGCCATTGTGTACAAGTCTCTCCATGGCCTCGCACCAAAATATATTAGTGACATGTTAGTCCCATATGAACCAGCCCGGACTCTGAGGAGCACAGGGACTGGACTCCTGCTGGGACTCTGAGGAGCACAGGGCCTGGACTCCTGCTGGGACTCTGAGGAGCACAGGGACTGGACTCCTGCTGGGACTCTGAGGAGCACAGGGACTGGACTCCTGCTGGGACTCTGAGGAGCACAGGGACTGGACTCCTGCTGGGACTCTGAGGAGCACAGGGACTGGACTCCTGCTGGGACTCTGAGGAGCACAGGGACTGGACTCCTGCTGGGACTCTGAGGAGCACAGGGCCTGGACTCCTGCTGGGACTCTGAGGAGCACAGGGACTGGACTCCTGCTGGGACTCTGAGGAGCACAGGGACTGGACTCCTGCTGGGACTCTGAGGAGCACAGGGACTGGACTCCTGCTGGGACTCTGAGGAGCACAGGGACTGGACTCCTGCTGGGACTCTGAGGAGCACAGGGACTGGACTCCTGCTGGGACTCTGAGGAGCACAGGGACTGGACTCCTGCTGGGACTCTGAGGAGCACAGGGACTGGACTCCTGCTGGGACTCTGAGGAGCACAGGGACTGGACTCTTGTTAGTGTCCAGAGTCAGAACTAAACATGGGGAGGCTACTTTTCAGATCCATGCTGCTAAAATCTGGAACAGTCTTCCTGAAGATGTGAGACAGGCCTCCTCTCTGACAATGTTTAAAACCAGGTTAAAGACAGTTCTATTTACAACTGAGGGATTTTATATTTTTATCTTTCTTTTTAATGTTCTGTGATTATTTATGATTTTAATGCTTTCTTGTTTTGTTCAGCACTTTGAGTTGCCTTGTGTATGAATTGTGCTATACAAATAAACTTGCCTTGCCATTGTGCAGGTACTGAAAAAAATCTCTGATCTGTGTGAAATTCAGCAGTTGTGTAAAGTCCTCCAAGATAACTGGTGTTGTGATTTAGGGCAACACAAGAATTCTTTAGATTGAATTGAACGTGACTTTTTACATATCATGCATACACTGTATAAATCAAGTGCATATTATTGTGAATGTCACTGTGGCATAACTGTAAATATACCACTGACTAAGCTAAGCAACCATATAGTTAAAGTCAAATCAAATTAGAATAAGTCCTTTTCAAGCTGACTTTGTGTTCATAAATCAAAACGCACTGTCTATGTATTATGTTGTTGTTGTTGTTTTTTTTCCTATTCTATTGTTGTTTTGTTGTTGTTCTTTGCTCTTGTCTGCCATGGCTCGAAATAAAGTATTCATTCATGCAAAAAAATCAACAAAAAATAAACATAAGCTGTTACAATATAAAAGCAGAATGCAAAAAGTTTCATAAAGTCCTGGTTTGAGCCGAGATCTTGGAACAATCCAAAGCAGCTCATTAGAGGATCTGGTCCGACCTTGTTGTGTGACCCTGGTCTATTAATTACACTATATAAAATACTTTCTCTCTCTCTCTCTCTCTCGTCTGCCCACAGTTTGCTCGCAGTACTCCCGAGGGGTCTTTGCCATCTTTGGCCTTTACGACAAGCGCTCAGTGAACACGCTCACGTCGTTCTGTGGGGCCCTGCACATCAGCCTGGTGACCCCCAGCTTCCCCACGGAGGGAGAGGCCCAGTTCACCCTGCAGCTGAGGCCATCCATCCGCGGGGCCCTGCTCTCCATCCTGGACCACTACGACTGGAACCGCTTTGTCTTCCTCTACGACACGGACAGAGGTGGGTCGGGGGGGATGGATCATTATCGAGTGTGGGAAGCGCTGCTGTTTGCGGTCGTAAAAGAAACATAATTGGCTGTGAAGTTTCCGCATTGATTTGTCAGAAATAATAATATGTCATTGGTGATTGGTTTAGAAAAGATGTTCCACTTGTGCCCAGTTAATGTGCAATTAATAACATTTACATTGCACTGCTTAATACAAACATGGGGTGATAATAAATGTGTGCTTTCTCTGTTCAAACTTTACTCATCTACAAGCACAGAAACCGTCACAGAACATGACACTGTTTTGGTTGAACATGTTTAGGTTCAGAGATTCTTTATCCGTCCCACTGTGGAGACATGTCAGTGTCACAGGCAGAAGGAACGAGGAGCACACAACACAAGATACTACTAACTCTATACTAAAATAAAGTGCTGTACATGATTGGATTCAGCTTAAAGTTCAAATTATACAGATATACAGTACACAAATAAAACTGATTTTAAAAGGGATTTAGCAAAAATACTGTTCATGTTTTACAACCAATTTATTGTGATCCACTTTGCCATGTTTTGTTTGTAATTGTATATAGTAATGGTTATTGTTATTGTTATAGTATGTATTGATATAAATGAAAGTTGGTATAGTAAAAGAGCCGTCCCTTCAGGGGTTATGGGTAATGTCCAGTTTCAGACCCAACACATGAACTTTAACATGTATTAAAGTCGGTTTTCAGCTCTAAATAAAATTTGGACCATATATTGACCCAAGTAACTTTTCTTTCTACAGAGATAATGTTGTATAATGTTTTTTATCTTTTTCTATTGGAATTTTATGAAGATTTTGTTTGCATGCTTTAATACTTTTTGCTGCACCATGAGCCAAAGCCAATTCCTAATTTGTGATTCTGGTTCTAAAATACATTAAATTAAAGCAGGACATTGTCTAACAAAGCATTAGCAGACTCCAGATCAGAATCTGAAAAATGCTCCAGGACTGATCCCTGTGCACATAATGTACTCGTTTAGATCAGAGTTTTATGGTTTGATTTTCCAATTCTCAATCAATCATGAGATTCTTCATTTTGAGCTCAGAAAAAAATAATGGATTTGTTTGGTACCATGATTAATTTGCATGTTTTCTATGTAACAATTATCAAGTGGTGCAGCCATAAAGGCCACAGTTTAATCTTTCTTGTTCTTCCACATCTCCAGGCTAAAACTCTAAACTGCGGTGCAGTTGATTAAAATGCAATTTTCTAATTAATCTCACTCAGTGCATGAGGAATTGTCTGTTCATACAGCAAACAATGTCACGTCATGCAAGCATCATCATCTCTTTTAAATCATTCTCATCTGGACTCATTCAGCTTTAGCAGCGCCAAGAGTAAAATGGAGAGGCTGCACCAACAACATGAACGATGGATCCAAGCAAAATTTGTCAGGCACTTGCATTTGGCTAATGAGAGGTACTGTAACTTTAACCTGTCAGGCTGTAAGTGGAGTGGGAGCATCTCGGACATTAGAAATTGGCACTGTCGAACTCAATTAACGCACTTTTCATCCATCACACACAGAACTATGAAGAGATTAGTGAAAATAGCCCTAATTGGGAATATAGCCCTAAAGCTGTGGTGATTTTTACATTAATACCGTTTATTTGTATTTATTTTTACAGTAAAATAGGGATTAATAGTTGTGCACTTGGATTGTTGCTACAATAGTACTCCTTCCACAACCACCCAGCAACAATTTCAACATTTTGGCCATATGTTTGGTTGTTATGAAAGATAACGCAAACATTTCTTACACTCATTATTAATGGTTGTGTGTTAGTTTATTGTCAACCTAACATTCTATTTACAAATGATAATGACAGATTGTACTCAAATGACTCTGATTGGAAGTTTTCATCCCCCAGTTCTCAACACTGTGTATTCCCCCTTTAACACTCACATCTAGCAGTCTTTTTAAGCATCTTTTAAATGGCCCATTCTTCTTGGCAAAAAGCCTTGCATGAACTGCACATTTGAGATCTCCCCGGATCGGCTCAATTATGTTATAATTTGAAAATAGAAAACACGTTTATTTGACAAAAAATGACTGCACAATTCAGAAACAATAAGTGGGGAAAAAAATGTGTTGTCATTCATAATCTCCAAAATATGGTCAAAACAATGACATATCTGGCCGGGTGTGTAAAACTTTAGTTTATTCCAACTGTGTTGCAGGAAAAACATTTTCAAACATGTTTAAATGGCCTGCAATGGTTCGCAAGCCTCCAACAGACAACAGTGGTTTTCTAATCTGCTGATTATTCTTATAACAAACCTTTTCACATAAATGTACACGATTATTCCAGTTCTAAAATGGCGCAATGAATTTACTCAAGATAATGGAAGGCTGGATATTTATTTGATACAAAATTATATCTGTTAGCATTTTTGAATAAACCAAACACACACCCGGACAATAGACAATAATAATAATCTTTGCATAATAATTGCATATATAAGGACCTCACTAAATCTCTCTCGCCCACAATAACATGATCAGATTCCCAAAGTTCACCAATAAGAGCACGCTTTATACATGTTTTCGAGGCGCTGCGTTGTCTAGGTTACCGCTGACAGAGATGGTCAGGATGCTGGAGGGCAGGGGCCTGGAGGTGAGCCGGGTGAAACAGAGCTGAAAAGTAGCAAAGACTGATGCGCACAGTGGGAGAAGGGGCCAAAGATCCACAGACAGGGCAGCAGGGCTCGTGGACATACACTGGTCGAAAAAGCCTGCAGATTAAGAGCAAAGCACGGGAACGAAGGCGCAGAGGAGAGGATGGATCGGGAACATTTGGGTTGTGCTCACCCGTGACTTGGCCGAGACAGGGCTCTTCATTACGGGCTCCCATCAGCCTGTGCTGCTGGTAATGTGCTGGAAAATGGGCAGTAAGGCTGTGATCTGTTTTACGCTCTCTGCTCCACTCCAGTCCTCACAGAGAGCTCTCACGTGCTATAGTGCAATAGTGCGTCGAAATATGTTCTCCCCGGGGAGGTTGCTTTTCATGCAGGGGTAAATATGAACATAATGGAGGTCGCTGAGGCACTAAAGCTGTAAGACACACATTGATGGCCCTTGATGCATCTGTTATAATGAGCAATCAATATCAAATAGAAGTCATTTCTGGCCATTTTTCAAAAACAGTTTCAGGTTATCATGAGTCAAACGTGTACGTAGTAAAACTAGTATTGAAAATTGATACTAATTTAAGCAGATAATTGATAGAAAAAATAGTAGAAATGTTAAACTACATTGGACGAACTTAAGTAAACTTCAACATATGGCCCCCTCTTATCCTAATATATATTTTTTAATTACAGCATTTAAAAATAATTGTGGTATTTATTAGTACCAGAATCATACTTCTCTAAATAATTTTTCACTGTGATGTTCTAAAGGATCTATCCCTATAATTATAGAATCAAAGAGTGGTTTTGACGTGTAATTACCATAGAGCTATATTCTGAAAGTAACTAAAAGTACTGACTCTTCTTTGGCCATGGGGCAGACTGACAGAAACGAGGCAACCAGTACGTGTCATTGGCCCCTCCCGCCCCCAACTATTCAATCACACACCAGATTCATTCTAGTCGGTCTTGCCTAAGGACGCAACAACAGCCTCCCCACAGCTCCCATCACAGCACTAACCAGGCCCTGCCCTGCTTGGCTTCAGAGGTCTGAGGGGAGCTGGCTTTCACATGCAGGTGGGTGGCGCCACATCTGTGCTGCTTGAGCCAAAAGCATTGACTTTTCCTTGTGATGATTTGAGATTGAGCGGCCGATTATCATCATCACCATTTCAACGTCTTTGCAGCGAAGAGACAGCTGCTTGGTGCAAAATGCTCCCATTAATGTCTTCTCTTGTTGCCTCCTGCTGTTTGTAGCTCCATGCCGTCGCTGTAAGTCCATCCATTCTGCTCCTATTAGCCACTGCCCTCATCACTCTTCACGGCATTTTTCCCCTCACTGTCTAAAATTAATAACTGCCCAAAAAATTCTCTGATGAGTTGGCTGAAAGATCACAGCCAAACCCGCGGCCGAGGCACTTTCTTTCAATTAATGAACGAACGTCGGAGTCTCGGTGCTGTCCACACGATGCAGTGAAGAAGTGCTTTTGTCTCAGAATGAATTTAAAGTTGTTCAGCGGCGCGATGTTGTTTCATTAAATGTGATGGACTGAAACACTTTGGTAAGGAAGAAGACATTTTAATAGAACACAAATTCCGTCTGTACGAAGACACAGGAGAAAAAGAAGTACGATTCTGGATGTGAAACTGTTTTTGTTGATTTTTGTTGAGCGAAGACTAAACTGAATACAAAATATATGAATGTATATACAGCCTATGTGATTATTTTGAACCGTTTTGTTGCTGACTAATGACTGAGGAAATTCATAAACTAAGATGAATAATAATTAAATATATATATATATATATATAAGCTGAGCGATAGTCAACAAAAGAAAAATGTGTAATTTTTCACCTGTTTTTTTCTGACAAATAACCAAAGAAGAAACTAAGCCAAATAATAAACAATAAAAAAACCTTTCTCTTTTATATTAATAAAAAGGTTCCATGTTTTGCCAATGTCTCTACCTGCAAACGTGCGTAACAAAAAGTGAAACTGGCAGAGAGACTCATGTGAGGCTCATTCTGCTTTCTGATTGGACATTGAGGACCAAAGCATTGATGCAAACCCTGATTGTGTATTTTCCGTTTTGTAAATGATCCGTATTGCACATGTTAGCTGTAAAGATCATCATTTATTTTGAACACAAAGATTTCCATTTTTATTTCTTGCAAAGTACTGTTTTTTGCCCTCAGCCTGACTGCAAATCAATACAGACTTATTTTTTAAAACTAGAAACCAGCCATTTATTTCCACATTGTCTGTTCTAAGGAGACGGCTGTAAAGTGTGCATTTGGAAACCTCTTCTGTGTTCTCCATAATTGACAATTACTGAATCATTTATCAGAGCAGAATCCCGTGATATAATTTCAGGCCGTAATACCAGGGTCTAACACTGAGCAACAAAACTCATTTATTCTAAACTGTTTGGTTTCTATTATTATCCGACGGCAATTTGTGTCTAATGTCTTTTTCCCTTTCCTCCTCTCCCTCTTTTGTCCAGGTTATGCAATTCTGCAGGCAATAATGGAGCGAGCGGGTCAGAACGGCTGGCAGGTCAGCACCACTGCTTATATGAACTAACGCCAGAATACAGACACAGGCACATAGAGAAAATATCATGATACCCGAGCATTTTGTACATATATATTTAATTTCAATTTGAAAACATAATAATAATAATAATGCATCAGTTTTATATAGAGCGTTATTGGACACTCAAAAATGCTTCACATGTCATTATTCACTCACTCCATACTCAGAGGTTATAAACTACAACAGTATATTCCTGGGTTTCACATGACGTCAGGGCAGTGGCGCGAATAACAAACATGGGACAGGACTTGAAGGTGCAGTCTGCCGGGTTTATACACGGAGATATAGTAGAAGAAGAAGCGCTGTCAAAATGCCATCTTTTTGTGCGGTGTACGTTTGTAGCAACTGCTCAAACCGCGAAAGACAAGAGTTTGTTCATGTTCCAACTGTGGTCTCATAAAAAGGAGGACACTTTGAAAGAAATCACTGGAATGAGGCGGGCGAGGTGGATCAAGGCTTTCCCAGATAAGCGCCCCCTGCAGGCCACCCCAATGAACACAGCAATTTCTTCTGTTTTTTCTTTCAAAAATACCCAAAATTAAGACTCTTTTGTGAAATATTTTTTAGTTCTCCCTTAGAATTGAGTATCCCCGATTAAGACTGTTACAACCACTGTACACCGCACAGGAGGAGAGCCTTTGACTCCAAAACAGACTTTACATGGTTTTCAATGGGAGCAAAACTGAGTTGTCCGACGTCTGCTCACTCGCCCCCTACTGGCCAGTTTCATGAAACCCAAGAATATTGTCCTATGTTATATTATATTATATTATGATTAAATTATACTATACATAGTTCCTACACGACGTCACTACATACGGGGATTTGCCGACCCGGCGCCATTTGTGTTGGCATTCTGTGGGAAAAACAATAGAAAAAGAAGCTGAAACGTGTTAATGTCGTGATAAAGTTGAAAATGGTCATCTCCTGCTGGGTCAATGGATGTTCAAATCGTGCCGGAGGTTCCGTTAAACTTGAATTTTACAGTATACCCATCATTAGACTTCATGAATGTGAGAAGACTAAGCTTTTGTCAGAACAACCACGGAGGTTATGGCTTGCGAAGATAAACAGGCAAGAAACTCCCTCAAAACACGCAAGAATATGCTCGGAGCACTTTGTGTCAGGTGCGTATCGTATCTTATAATGTGTTGACAGACGTAATTTACTCAGTACTAACTTGTGTATGCTGATATCTGGTAACTTGAGAGTTTCATTATTTAGCGTTAGATTACTTTATTATGAGGAGGATCGGTGTCGCGTCCGAGGCTCTCGAGGGCAACGTAAATGTATTAAATAGATAATAATAGTTCTATGGTGGGCTAAAACAATGTTCACAAACAGCATTGCTTCTGTAAAAAGATCTGTGTCATAAAATAAACTGCTCTTTACGCCTGGAAAAATCAGTTGCCCACCATTCACCAAAACATACGGTCAAAAACGCGGAAATAAACAATAACAGCAATCCAGAGTGTCCGTGTGGCATTAGCATTAATTAAATTAATTGTTAATATAATTAAAATAATTAAATGGAGCTCCAACTGGTATTAAATCTAAAGTTTTTGAGAAATGTTTGCATTGCTTGTTAATTTTTGCTGCATAATTTGATCAAATATGTAAAACATGTCCGTAGCACGTTAAACTGTGGTGCCATTGTATTAATATACAATTATTTGCTCAAAAGTTGCCCTTTTTTTCCAATTTGCGTTTGAATATCTACATTTATTCTCATTCTTCTGTTTAATGGAATGCACAAACACAGCAGCGTGCCATCAAAGATGGCGTCTCTGAGGAGGTCATGTGACATTCATTGGTCTGTGGGAACTATGTATATGAAGATTGTTTATGCATGCCTTCTATTTTTACTTTTGTAACCGTGAACTAAAGCCAATTCTTAGTTTGTGATTTATTCTTATTCGGAGCCTGAATAGCTGGAATAAATATAATAGATTACATTATACAATATTTATAATTACTCATTGCCTATTATTTAAGCTCTTTTTGGCAATTATAGGCTGATGTATTATTTAAAACCTTGCGTCTCCTCTTGTGGACACTATCTTGTGTCTGGTCTCGTGGAAATTGGATCTTGTCCTAACCCCATAAATGGATTAATGAAATGCCCATCACTTTGACTCTATCCACGGGTTTCAGAAGGATGAGAACTGAGAGAACTTGTTTCCATAGTGATCAACATGCCAGGAATGCAAAGGATTAAATTAACTTCTGTTTTGATCGCTGAATGGAGGCTCGGCGACTAGATTTTTGTGTGTGTTTTTATGCTCTATGCTGATCAAATGAATTGCCTCTGCTGGATAAATGAATTAGTGTTCATCTAAAAATGACTTGTCTGGCTTCTGCTGAACTCCAGGTGAGTGCGATCTGCGTGGAGAGTTTCAACGAGGCGGCGTACAGACGGTTATTGGAGGACCTGGATCGGCGGCAGGAGAGGAAGTTTGTGATCGACTTGGAGCCAGAGAGACTACAAAACATACTCGAGCAGGTATGACGTCATTCAGATACTGTATGGTCATGTGGGTTTCATGCATAGTTCCAATTTAAGAAAAACTAAAATCCTAGATGCAGACGGTATCGTGGATCACCACCAAAACGGTATCATGTGTTCTTTTTCCATTCCATATATAATGAATATTTTTAAAAAACAAGGCCGGCAATACGTTTTTTAATTAAGTTGCTATCTTACTCAAAGATAAACAAAAAAACAAACAAACACCTGATCAAAACAACCTCCTCAGTGATGGTAATAAAGTGCACACAAGATGAAACAAAACCAGTTGTCCTCACTATAGCACAGTTTAAAGGTGACATCATCATCGCAAAAAGACCAACATTTTTATAAGGGGCACAAGCTAAATGTGAATTGGCTTAATAAGAGAGGCTCCCCCATAGTGCTGGATAAAAGCCTTTTCCTTGAATGGCCATGTCAGAAGGTGTAGTGGTTCTTCTGGCACCTCCTCCTCCATTTCTGATTGACTCCTTTTATTAACATCACTAATATTGTTTGCTGTTTACCTCAGACAGCTGCTCTGGACATTTTCAATAGCCCCAATAGCATCTCTCTTTCACCCAATGTTCAAAAGTTACGGGTCATTTAAAAGAGATGACCAGGTGGATGTGAGAATGATGCCTTTAAACATGACCTTGAGAATACTCACTTTGGCATTTCAGGTTCTAGAAAGTGAAATCATTTGTTTCATATAAAATAGCGGTATATGGTTAAACAATGAAAGGATTTAAAGTTCTAAAGCAGAAAAAATCTCTCTCCATGCTGGCATAGGGTAACATTTGTCATGCTAGGTTTCCATGCAAAGTCTGTGTCAAAAAAATAGCAAATTTAGTATTACGTATGTGTCCTTTAAAACATGAGAATGGCTTGTACTTCCAGAAGCTCATTGCCGACACTCTCTCAATAACTCTGACACGCCTGCTACGCCTGTATGATATACGATTATATTTTTTATTACAGAAATAAAAGTCCAGTCCTTTTCAAAGAATCGACAATCAAGAGCATGAAAACTTTAAGCATGTATAAAAAAGTTTAGCACCGTTATCTCAAAAGACCCAAAACATTGTGTAGGAGACGGGGCAGACCTTTAAGACCTTTTCCTTTTCTAAAATATGAACGCTCCTTTCCTTTCTTTGAGGCCAGTGGGAAATCTACAGCTTCTGAGAGGAATTGTATGTTGGCGAAATTGCGTGGTTGAGGAAGAACAAAATCTATTTGTAAAAATAAATTGAATGGATTGTGCATCTGGAGTCCCTAGCACACACACGTTCTTGAAATTCAATACAAATACATGCTTTCTGTAAATATTCAAACGATGAAAGGTTTTGGATGTTTTCAGGGCCATTGAAGGAAACAGACAGTTTCACAGTATGTGCATAATTTACGAAGTTGTGGACACAGTTTTGACGCAGCTCCAGACAAAATACATTAAATCTCCCATTTTATATTTTACTAGCGATGTTTAATGACTGCAGCGCTCCATTGGCCCTTCGGAATTTTTCTTAAGCCCTCATATGAATAGTAGCTTCTGCGTACTCTCCTAATCATTCCCATAGATCACTGTCACATACTCTTTTCATTGCGTGTCAAGAAAGTCTTTTGTCAGCCTTAAACCTTCCAATTTCTGCTATATCTGCTCAGGCCGAAGTTGATCTCCTTTGACGTACCACTACCACATCGGAATACTCCCAAAATGGTGCTGCTTCTCTTGTTTCCATTCACAAATTTGAGGCGACAAACGCTGAGACAGGCTTCATACTAATTGGGCCGTGTGATGAGACAGACAGAGCCCTCCTCACAGCGGGCTCTGGCTCTCAGACAGACACTGGGATTGTCTATGGGGCTGCCAGCTGCCACCACCACAGAGGACGGGTGGGGTGGGGGGGGGGGGGGGGGGGGGGTGGGGGGGTGGGGGCGAGGGGGTGGCAGACAGTGGAGTGGAGAAATCGATTAATTACCTCGATAAAGAGTGGGCCCGTGTTTTTATACAGTAAACATGATTAACACCAGTTACACATGACTCGCTGTTGGGGATGGTATTGTGGCTGGTTTGCCTTCGGTGTCTGTGTGTGTCTGTGTGTGTCTGTCTGTGTATGTCTGTGTCTGTGTGTGTGTGTGTGTCTGTCTGTCTGTGTGTGTCTCTGTCTGTGTGTGTCTGTCTGTGTCTGTGTGTGTCTGTCTGTGTCTGTCTGTGTCTGTCTGTGTCTGTCTGTGTATGTCTGTGTCTGTGTGTGTCTGTGTGTGTGTCTGTGTCTGTGTCTGTGTGTGTCTGTCTGTGTCTGTCTGTGTCTGTCTGTGTATGTCTGTGTCTGTGTGTGTGTGTGTCTGTCTGTCTGTGTGTGTCTCTGTCTGTGTGTGTCTGTCTGTGTCTGTGTGTGTCTGTCTGTGTCTGTCTGTGTCTGTGTGTGTCTGTCTGTCTGTCTGTGTCTGTGTGTGTCTGTCTGTGTCTGTGTGTGTCTGTCTGTGTCTGTCTGTGTCTGTCTGTGTATGTCTGTGTCTGTGTGTGTGTCTGTGTCTGTGTGTGTCTGTCTGTGTCTGTCTGTGTCTGTCTGTGTATGTCTGTGTATGTCTGTGTCTGTGTGTGTGTCTGTGTCTGTGTGTGTGTGTGTGTCTGTGTGTGTGTCTGTCTGTCCGTGTGTGTCTCTGTCTGTGTGTGTCTGTCTGTGTCTGTCTGTGTATGTCTGTGTATGTCTGTGTATGTCTGTGTCTGTGTGTGTGTCTGTCTGTCCGTGTGTGTCTCTGTCTGTGTGGGTCTGTCTCTGTCTGTCTGTGTCTGTGTGTGTGTCTGTGTCTGTGTGTGTCTGTCTGTGTATGTCTTGTCTGTGTGTGTGTCTGTGTGTGTGTCTGTCTGTCTGTGTGTGTCTCTGTCTGTGTGTGTCTGTCTGTGTCTGTCTGTGTCTGTGTGTGTGTCTGTGTCTGTGTGTGTCTGTCTGTGTATGTCTTGTCTGTGTGTGTGTCTGTGTGTGTGTCTGTCTGTCCGTGTGTGTCTCTGTCTGTGTGTGTCTGTCTGTGTCTGTCTGTGTCTGTGTGTGTGTCTGTCTCTGTCCGTGTGTGTCTGTCTGTGTCTGTCTGTGTCTGTGTGTGTGTCTGTGTCTGTGTGTGTGTCTGTATTCGTCTGTGTCTGTCTGTCTATGTCTGTGTCTCTCTGTGTCTGTGTGTGTGTCTGTGTCTGTGTGTGTGTCCGTGTGTGTGTCTGTGTGTCCGTGTGTGTCTCTGTCTGTGTGTGCGTGCGGTGGGACGGACGACTCGGAATAGTACGGCCGTCACGAAAGTAAAACTAAATAGTATTTTTTTTACTCCCTCTGCTGTAAACACGTGTCTGCTGTATTTTCTGATTCCTGAAGCATTTTGACTAGTTTAGCACTTTACAGCCTTGTGTGTTCCCAGAGGTCTCCCATCCCAGTTCTGACCAGGCCCTGCCCTTTTAGCTTCTGAGATCTGACTTGAAGATACTGTCAGAAAATCCTCGTTTCTAATCAAGAATAATAATACATGTGTAAGCCCACCCCAGTTTGAATGGAGTGGTTGCATGTATGTTGACTATCGCTAAGATTATATACATTTTGATATTAGCACAAAAACCTCTGGAGATTGTTTGAGAACCCCATTTTTCAAGACCGTTTTTAGGATCAAAACAAAATGAAAACAATCGCAACTGAACCGATTAATCATAGTGCCCCATTCTTTCATAAGTTAAAAAGAAAAACGAACCTTTTCCTCTATTTGTACATCCATTATCCCAGCTCAGAGCATTTTAGTTGAGATAAGCTCGACACAACCAATTTCTCCCCTGCACAGAATGAATCGGTCTGTCCGAGCGGCCAGGCTATATCACATTTTACCCCAGCAATAATTCAGTATTTCATTAAATATTGATGATGTTTATAGTGCCTTTCATGTTTTGTAATGCTCAATGGAGAAAAGTTTTGCCCTGAATCATATTTATTACACAAAACCAAAACATTATCTGAAGTTTGACTAGTGTGAGTGTTTGGTGGGCAGTGTGAGTGAGTAAAGTCCAGTAAAGTGTGTGTCTGTGTCTGCAGGCGGTCAGTGTGGGGAAGCACGTAAAGGGATACCACTACATCATGGCAAACCTGGTGAGTACATGGTATAGCTTTAATCCTGTACATAGTTTCACTTTGTTTTATTGGATTTATGGCACTTTTCAAAGGAACTCTACAATGCTTTTTAAATTTGAGACATTCACGTTCATGAATACACAACACATGAAAGCACTAATGTTTGCCTTGTGTATGGGAGGATCTTTGTTTACATCCGCATCACTCGCTGGCTGGCAAGAAGACATAACGGCACATACAAAAGCATGGATGCGAAGAGTGCTTTTAAAAGACTTAGTGAACGAAATGCACTATATATGCGCACTTTAACGCAAGAAGATCGCAGAAGATATAGAAGTATAGGAGAACGAACTCAACAAATCCAACACAAAATAAGTTAAAGGCCTTTAAAATCTGTAAGCCTATGATTATTTGTTTCTAGAAAGGTTGGGCCATTTTTTTCTACGAAACAGAAGTCCGTGATTGTGTCAGACCAGGTCGAGTCACCGCAGGATTCACATCTGCCGTGGGTGATTATGAAGGAGAATAGAGAAATCATCACTCACTGTGTCAGTAAAACCGGGAAAGGCTTTCTTTCTGTTGATCCCAGAATCCAGGCTTTTCTTCTCAGTGTTCATTCTCCTGATCGCCCGCAACCATTTCTCGCATTTTTTGCTGTTGGAAGGAATTCGACCCTTTATCTGGCCCCAGCGAGCCGTACAACTGACCACACAACAAGAGTGGACCATTGTATTAAGTAAAACCTCTCTCCGAACTTCTAAATCTAGCTAACTCTGTAGCATCCAGGTAGCGTTCGCAGCTGTTTTGCCACCCAGTCACGTGACCGGCGCAGAAAAAACTATAAACAATGACGCCACTCAGAGATCCTCCTATACACTGTACAAATTAAGTTGTATGGCACAGTGGAGAGCTGAAGAATTGGGTTGAGTCTGCTGTGCTCCTGCTTGGTTCGAATGAAAACCAGTAACCACGCCAGACCTTTGAGGACTGGTTTGACACCTCTGCTCTGAACCATAGAGCTAGAAATCTGAATTTTGACACTTGCCGTAGCTACCAGGACATATTTCTCAGCTGCTCCCACCATCATTTTAAACTGTAGCCTCTTTGGAATGACGACACAACCTATCCAACATCACGAAAGAGGAATCAAACCTATTTATTTCCGAGATGAGCCGTTGGACACAAAGCTATTCCATGAGAGACTAAGATGTTTTGTTGCAGACACATAGCACATAAAGAGGGGCATAATATACAGGCAAAGCGCAGTAGTCTCTGCACTCCCTGCCTCTCTCTCTCTTTGGCCTATTGCCTGAGGCTTTCGGCCCATGCACTCTGCCTTTTTTTTCCCCTTCACTCACTTCTCCACTTTTTCTTTTTGTGCCAGGGTTTTAAGGACATATCTTTAGAGCGCTTCATGCACGGAGGGGCCAATGTGACGGGATTCCAGCTGGTGGACTTCAGTAAGCCGATCGTTATTAAGCTAATGCAGCGCTGGAACAAACTGGACCAGAGAGAGTACCCGGGATCAGAGAGCCCACCCAAGGTACTTCAAACGTGACAACTTATTATCAAATGCAGGCTTTTTGCTGGGGTTATGGCTCAAACTGTTTTTTTTGTTTTTGTCTTTTGGCCGTTCTTATGTTCATCCGCGTCCAAAAATGTCTTCAAGAGACTTTCAATTATATTTTCCCCTTAAAAGAAAACCAAATAAAAGAAAAGTTTTAATTTGTGAATCACGACTGCAGTCCTTTTGCCACATCACCATTCTGAATCCCATGCTCACAGCCCTGCATTACAACATGACTACAGAGCAGTTACTGAAATGACACAATTCTGTGTTAGGTAAGAGTAGGAAGTATGCAGCTTCAAGTGAACATTTTGGCCTAAATCTTTCAGGATATGTAACTTAAAATGAACTCATTGCACTGCTCATTCCTGCAAACCCATTTGTTCAATAATATAATCTCGCTTACTTTTTTAGTGATGAGTGACTTTTACTGCACTTAATATTGATGTCCATATTCAGCCTGCGGCTCCTGAGCAGTGGAGCCTGGGGTCCTGGTCATTTTCCAGACACAACCGACTTGCGAGGCCGTAGAATGGACCTGCGCTGAGGCTTTAGAGCGCTGTGGGAAAACAACAGGACCAGGGGTCAAACATTGAGTTAATCTGGCTGGAATATTCCCACACTGCCCATAACTTTATAAAAGGAACAGTATTAATGATGCAAAGATGAATGTATTGTAAAACATTGTATTGTGTATTACAAGTGAGAGGCTCAATCTACTTTCTAATTGGATAATGAGCTTGATAAATGTTAACAGAAACAATGGAGCCATTTGGACCATTGAAAATCATGAATGAAAAAATCCAAAAATACCATGTTGTTTGTACTTGTTATGTCTCAGAGGGCGCTCTGTGGTTTATGTCATTTCAAATAAACATCTTAAATAATGTTCCTGAAAAGCAACAGTAACTTTAATAATTTTGTAAAAACAACACTATGGAACAAACTTTAGGAAAACAAATTAATTCAAGTACGTGGAAGGAGGACGTCCTCCCCCAGGACAAGCCCAGATGTGAAGATTCAGAAGGACGTCGCTCACAGTCAAGACACATGTGTTACTTTTTCTACATTTTAAGTAGAAATAAGTAATATAATTGCATATCATTTGTATTTACCCTCTTGAAACAAATGCATTTTTCTCTAAAGCGTTCAGATTTTCATGGCCCAGCCCTCACCAGTAAACTATCTTATACGTACAGGATTGTAACACACATTTGAAAGTTTTGGATAAAGATGCTGTCCTCATTTCATAATATTCTCTGAAGGAGACGTGTTTCCGTTGCTTGTGTATTCCTCCCCTCACACCTCTATTGACTGGGCTCTGACCTGCCGCCCGTTGTGCATACATTAGGAGGGATGTGTCCACCCACCTATTAAAAATACATCATGCTGCAGTTCTGCAGCGCGCATGCTCCGGGTGTGGAACGACCAGGGACGACATCCTTCTCCCTCTGAACATCTCGGCTCATTAGTGTGGACTTCTGTGGAGGCTCCTCAGTTTTAATGAATGCACACACCTTGTTTCATGTGGGCTGGTGCTGCTGCTCTCATCCTCTGCACTCTGCACGACTTTCTCTTCTTTCTAATTACACTGATGTGTGGTGTGTTCTGCTGAGCCACAACGCTGCCCAATGGCCAATAGGAGCTTCATCTGCAGGCTGTTGTTAAAGAAATGAAAGTAATTGGTCAAAATACCATAAAAATGTAAAACATAGTCGTGAGTTCAATGCTCACCTATCAGAGCTATAATCACCGTATACAGGTAGCATTCAGGTTGAAAAATTCTATTTCAGTTGGAGGGCAGGTGCCAATCCATTTTTTGCGTGTTTACATTTTTTTCAGAAAAAACACAAACAAACACATACAGGATATAAACCAACAAGTCTATGATAGAAAGAAAACTATGTAAATTAAGAAGTAAATAGCATTTAGAAAAAGATTTTATATTGTTCAACATGCTCTGCCATATTCTTCTTCATATGTCTTATTAGTCTTTTCTTCTGGCCAGTATCATGTTTATATGTTTTAATTACGTGTTTTAAACTGAAATGTTTTAACTAGTTACTCTATATTGTCATGTGATGTAATGTATTGTAATGTAATTGTAATTTTTTGCAGTGCACTTTGATGGCATTTTACACCTTGCCTAGGGACTACAGTTGGAAACTAGCTGTTAGCTAATACTGACACATTTACAGCAATGTTGATTAATGTGTAACGTCCCTATTCAAATAAACTATTAAATAAAATGTTTTTGGAATATTGTCAGCATTTACACCTTACTGACAAACTAGGAGGTTTGAAACAGTTTTTCTTTTTCATTTTGATTTAATCCAGTAAGAATGCAAGTTACATACAACCCTCTTAAGGAGTGACTTGCTGTAAATATGCCAGATGAAAGTGTCGTGCTGCCTTTGTCCTAGCTTCGTGCTTGCAAACTCTCATTTGCAGTGTATTGCACATGGGCACTACAGTAGAGGCAATGGCCAGTGTCTTTCCTCAGGCCATGGAAATCTTATAAACTACAGCCCATGCCTCCCATCCTTCCAAAACCAGCTTTGGGAATTCACAAAACCCAACCAGTTCCAAACTATTTTTAGATTTTTGGAATAGCTGTCCAAATATAGCTCACTCCACCACAGATGTTCCAATCTGTACAAACCGACAATCGCCAGAGTTTCAGAGCAGCCGCTGGAACTGGGCAAAGCTTTAGAAATCCTAATACTGTTTTCTATCAGTGGAGCTATGACCTGGCAACCCCTCATCTATATTATGTCTCGGCCAGTGTTTGATCCGAGCTCTGTTATGAGTTCCCAGTGTAGGTCTATGTACTTACACGAAACCAGCAGCTACAGACCATGTTTCTGTGTGTGACTGGAAGACGGTGAAATAAGAACCGGCATAGGTCAAATCTACTTGGATTCAGTTGAGTTTGTCGGTTCAACTTTGCTCAATCAATCCCCAGCATGAATTGTACACTTTCACATATTGATTTTCTACGCTTCTTTTCTTAGAGGGCAAACATATAGAAATCCCTGTGTGTATGCTGTTGGAATGTGTAAATGGTTGGTTGTAATGTACAGTATGTTTATATAAGTCCCCTTTGGACAAGGAAAACATGAACAATGTTATCCACTTGATGTTTTTTGGTTCATTCTTCATCATGGGTCAGCTCTAAGTAAGAAATATTTATTTATATAGTGCATTTTTACAGACCCAGGTCACCCAAAGCGCCTTACAATGTTCAGAGTTCAGATACGTTCAAGGAGCAGTATGTAAAAATCTGGCCAAAAGTAAAACTATACTCTCCCTGACTCAGGTTGCCAGATATGCAGACGAATGCTGGGACCATAATATCTGAATAATCAACAAATCTAACACCAACACCTTTTTTACAAAGATTGAAATCCTGGTTTTATTTTTTGTTTTGTCATGATTTGAGAATCATAACGAGACCTTTTTTAGTCGTGCGGTCACATGTTACTTTCTGATTGGTGAAACAGTGGAGGGCGGGACATCGAAACGAAAACATTAACAAGAGATAGAGGTTGTATAACTATTTTTGAAATCCAAATATCTCGGCTGAACCATTGCTATCCGTTAAAGAAGTATTGTAAAAGAGCATGGTTTATTAGGGCAGATTAATGATGACTTGACATGAAATTATTACATATTACTACTTTAAGTCAAGTTATACGTTATTGCTTCCTGAAAGGAAATAAGTTATCTGCATTTGACCCATCCTTCCAATGACACTGTGCTATGTCAGTAGCAGTGGTTGCTGTGGTGAAGCACCCGGGGAACCAGAGCTGGAGGATTTGATCTATAGTGCATGCTCCTCATTCCATTCATTACCTGTAGTACAATGTGGACCTTCTCATCCATCCCCAATGCACACTTTAGCCATAGTTCTGAAAAAAGAAGACACATTCTGGCTTTTGTCACAGCTTATTCCCAATTTTGAAGTGGTATTTGTGAACATGCCGTTTCTTGATTTTGCAATTCTCTTCTGTTCTATTCTGTTCTACTCTGGTCGCAGCTTTGATGTAGCTACATATTATTACCCATGAACCAGACGTCTCCAGTTCAACAGAATGGCACACACACACACACACACACACACACACACACACACACACACACACACACACACACACACTCTTCTACAGTGATATCGGAGCGGCTCTATGACACAGACCCAGGCAGGAGGACATAAATTGATGGCCATGTGCGCCGGTTATTGGCGTGCCATTCTTCACTCCGGGGACGTTGTTAATTAGGTAATCATCGTTCTTAGATGCACCTGATGGCTCCTCATCAGTGAATAGCAGCTGCATCAGTAGTCTATGACACTCCACTTTATTAATGTGTGTTTACATGCTGATTACATTACAGCCAAAGTGGATTCTGAATTGGACCATGCACACAGCACTGTCTCTCTCACCACCAGTTAATCAATGACCTTTTAATATTGTCTTTTTATTCTTCTGCTGAAATGGATCCACCTCTGACACGGGATAAACCCTTTTAATGGTATAACAGAAGTAAACAGCAGATGCCCTGTGCAGTGCTCAGGGCTAATTGGGAGTATCTTAACGCATAAGCTGGGATAGCCCGGGGCCATGCGCTAGCCTTGGGCACTGTCTAACTTTGCTCTAATAATAGTGGGGCGGAGGTGCTCGGCTGGGACATGTCCCCACCGCGTGGCCTTGACTCGCTCAAGAAGCTATTCTGACTATCAATCACAATCTTTTAACCCCTGAGTACAAGGTGTGGTGGCTCAAGATGAGCTCTGCTACTTTTCATTTTGTGGAGGTGTAATGAATATGATTACTGGACAAGTGAGGTGATATATTAGAATTTCCCAAAAAGTCAGGCTCTGTCAGGAACTTCTGATCAAAGTGAATCCTGCTGACACTTGCACATTGGGGTTTTGAGAAACTTGTTGTATTCAAACTCATAAGCCTTTTGATGAGCAACATTTTTGTCCCGATTGCAGTTATAAAAGAAGCTTTGATGTATTTCAGTTACTTCTTTCTGTATTTAGACATAGAAATGTACTATATTTAAAAATAGATAATGAAAAGAAAAATCTTACAAAAACCTTAAGACTATTGAGAATAAGGAGTGAGCAGAAGCAGATCACATGATGGGAACACATTCTTGGCTGTTTCTGTGACTGTTTTATTGAGATTGTGAGAGAGGTTTCCCCATGCCCTTACACATAACTAAATTGCTTGTTTTTAAATTCCACGACAAATTTAGACAATCATTAAGTCAAAAATAAAGCTGATAGATTGCTTCAAACACAAATCTTTGAAAACGTTTCAGGTACTATTCACACACTAATTGCCAAATACTAAAACATGAAATACACCATACACAAGTTCCAAGTCTCTCTGTGCCCAGCAGGCATCTGTGTCCTCTCTTTGGGAAAAACAAAACCACAACTCCCTGTATTATAATTTCACAGTCGTCATGTGTCAAGTCCCGTGCCTTGAGGCTTCTGTACTTTCAAAGGGAAAGATGAAAGAGGGGAAACGGTGAGCAAAAGAAACCCTTCCAAAAACAAGGATGCGAATCAAGGCCGTATGTGAGCGCCAACAGCTACAGTCCTGTGGGGAGCCTCCGCACATATCCAGCTTCCGTCCGTCTTTGCTGAGAGGTTTGAAGGCAGCCTGCAGAGAGCCTGACTGCTTCTGCCTGAGCTGCCGCGCCGGTGTCTGGGCTCTGGACAGATACTGTGTGTGTGGGCGGCCTGCTGTGCTTCCTCTGATGAAATTGTCAAATCTGGCAGGTCTTTATTTCAGAGCAGATTAGCTTGCTTGTGTGTGAGAGTTAAATTCAAGGGTTGGTGGTATAATGGGAGATCTTTTTTATTTAGTAGTGCAGTGCGTTTTGATTGAAGTCATCTGGAGTGGAGCTGATAAAACTGTATGAGAGTCGCTCCGTGCAAATGGGTCATGTCTCTGTCGTAGCTGCTGCTGATGTCGTGTGTAGTGGGAGGAGCAGTGAATGTGTTTTTTCCCAGCATGTCCACACCAGGTGAGCAAAACTATAAACAGGATACACAATTATACTATATCGACTTGAAGCGTGGTTGGAACTAAAATCGACCTCTTTGGGGCATCTCACTTGGTTTTAAGCACTTTTACCATCAAACTGCAGCTCAGCCATTTGGTAAAAGCCTATAATAAAAATCAAAATAAACCGTAACAACACATTTTTTTTGTTATTACTGCTCCTACATCTTTTTAAATCCAAAAAAGAAAAAATGAATTGCTTTTTTCAAGGAGTGAACATTCAATTAAAGAGCAAAAGTTGACTATAGCAATCACATAATTTAAGTTAATTAAACTGGAATAAAAAATGGCGGGTGGGAGTTTAAAAGTCTTAACTTCTTCCCACTCCTTTTCGAGTTGACTTTTTGTTGATAAAACAAAATACTGTATATGTATTGTATTGTTTATTTATTTATTTTTTCATTCTGTTGTTTTGTTGCTGTTCTTTGTTCTTGTCTGTCATGGCTCGAAATGAAAGTATTCATTCAAAGGGGTTTGACGAAGTAGACAATTATTTGGTTCCAACTAATGTCACTCATACAACACAAAAAAACCACATGCATTCAGACAGACAGGCAGACAGACTGACAGACAGAGAGACAGACGGACAGACAGACAGAGAGACAGACGGACAGGCAGAAAGAGATACAGACGGACAGGCAGACAGAGATACAGACGGACAGACAGACAGACAGAAAGACAGAGAGACAGACGGACAGACAGACAGAGAGACAGACGGACAGACAGAGAGACGGACAGAGAGACAGTCAGACAGAGAGACAGACGGACAGACAGACAGAGATACAGACGGACGGACAGACAGAGAGACAGTCAGACAGAGATACAGATGGACAGACAGACAGAGATACAGACGGACAGACAGACAGACAGACAGAGAGACAGAGAGACAGAGAGACAGACGGACAGACAGAGAGACAGACAGAGACAGACGGACAGAAAGACAGAGAGACAGACTGACAGACAGACGGACAGACAGGAAGTAAAATAAAAAATCACATAAGTAAATCTTTATTGTGTCTGGTGTTAAACGCTTGTAACAGACCAGAGGTAAATCATCGACCTAATCCCAACTAAACCAACTAATCTGTTCTTTCATAGAAAGGAAATATTCTAATGATTTGGAGCGGCACGATGTGTTGAGTTTGCATGTTCTGCCCGTGTCTATGTAGGCTCAAGTTTCTTCACCACTAAAAAGAGGCTTGACTGTAACGAGAGAATGAAGGATTGTGATCGTCGATGTGACAGTGCACTGGAATTACTGCTTCAACAACAATTGTAAAATAGATAAAGACTACTTACTTATGTCCAATATGATTTTAAAGCTCATTTGCAACATTTTGGATTCTACATGGATTATATATTGTTGCTGCTTATTTTGTCTTGTCTGTACAGCACTTTAATGAGCCTATGCTATTGTAATGATTGTGTAAAGATTGAATTGATTGATTAAATAATCTTTTACAATATGCATTCATGTAATTGTAGAAATCTTTAAAAACAGGGGGTGATTTGAAATATTTAGTGTTTGATGTCGCCAATATGTAGTGTTTGAACCAAAATGAGGATTACATCGATAAATAATGAATTACTTCTGATCAGTTGTATTTCATCCTCAGCACTTGTGTTTTAGAACCGTGTCAGAGCTGAGATGCACATTTACAGCCGTGTTAAAGTGTGGAAGTCAAATAAAAGTCAGACTGTTTCAAAGATTAAAGGCTGTCTGCTTGTTTGCGTACCTCAGCTCTTTTCCCATGGAGCATTGCAACATGGGGTCTTCCTGCATCTTTGAGAAGCGAAGACAAGACTTTTATGCCATTAAGAGGAACACATGATTCTACTCTCATTCTTTACCTTTGCACATTGTTATGAATGTTTTAAAATGTTTTGGCCTGTGGCTCGTATCACAACTGAAGAATGCGAAAATAGGTTGTCGTATAGTCTTGCAATTTCATCCAAAACATGATATAACCGTGAATGGGAGAATGGAGACAGTGCTGCAGATAATAGGAACCTCTTTATTCAGCGAAACCATGACGGAGCATTTGCTGTTTACAAAGTTGTTTTGTTTTACTTCTCACTTTTTGTCCTATTGTCACCAATCACAGTTTATCAGTGCGTGTGACGTCACGAAAGAGGAAGACATTCAATTTCTTTGCATACATTAATCCCACAATCCAAATACTCCCTTACTTGTGTACCAGAATTCCCTAAGTCAATGTGAATATACAGTTATATTTGCAAGGTTTTTTGTATGTATAATTTTAATAACAATGCATCAATTTTATAAAGCCACTGTCGCCCCCATGCCAAACTCATGCTTTTTGTGATTTTATGGAACGTATATACAGTATATATGAGACATATACACACACACACACACATGCTCAGGACAGAAACAATAACAACAAAAAGGTGAAAATATGCATAACTCAAACAAAACAAAACTCATTAAAATGCTTGGTTCTGTCTCGCGAGGGGTCATTACCTGTTTACATGCTTGTTTGGAGCTGCCTGTTCACAACAAAATACTATGGTTTCCAACTTTCCATCCCCCAAGTTCATGCACCCATATTTTATCTATGTATAAATGGTCACGCAGGTATTAGCTTCTGAATCATGAGCCACTGTATATGAATGATGCTACAGTTTTCTTGTGCTAATCCTGCTTCTCCTGCTTTTTCTTCTAGTACACGTCATCCCTGACTTACGATGGCATCCTCGTGATGGCCGAGGCTTTCCGGACACTGCGACGGCAGAAGATTGACATCAGTCGCCGTGGCAATGCTGGCGACTGTCTGGCCAACCCGGCGGCTCCGTGGAACCAGGGCATCGACATGGAGCGGGCCCTCAAACAGGTGAGAGTTTACTATGTGTCTATGCTCACTTTAGCCCTGTGAGAAACTTCAGTTATTCATCCGTGTTTTTGTTTGGGCCAAGGTTCGGATCCAAGGCCTCACCGGGAACGTCCAGTTTGATCACTACGGACGACGGGTCAACTACACCATGGACGTGTTCGAACTGAAGGGCAACGGCCCGCGCAAGGTGAGGTTGTTGTTTACAGACATTTCAGAAATATGAACTGGACACAAAATAAAAACAAATACACAGTTTGAAAAGGGTTTGTATAAGACTATATCCACACGAAGACAAAACGCTTATAATTTCAGAAACTTTTTCTGTAAAGAGTAAAGAGTTAGCTCAGTAAATGTGTGCGTCCATATGAATGTAGTCAATACGCCTGAAAACGCTGTGAAACTATGCCAGACCTGTTGGTGGCGCTGTGACGCAATGACGGGATCAAGCCCAAACTTCCGTGACGGGAACTGGGCATGCGCAGAATTTTGCGCAGAATTTTGTAAACAGACAACATGGCGAGTGGGCGAGCTGGTACTACATTAGTATGGACGGACGATGAGGTTGAACTGTTGCTTCGGGTCACACTGGATTACAAAACCAACAAGCTACATTGTTGTTGTCATTATTTTCTGAGTGCGGCGCATGCGTGCTTTAACAAGAGGCGGGGCGATGACGCAAGCGTCTCAGATACATTGCGGAGAGGCAGTAACCACGGAGCGGCATATACGGCGTTTTGAAATCTTTCCACTCTGGGACCTACTTTCAAAAATGTTCGTTTACACCCCCCCAAAACGCCGGCCTCGTATGGACGATACACTGGATTGATAAAGTATTTTTGCGTTTAGGCCTGAGCTTGACTTCGTGTGGACAGGGCCTTAGATGTTATATTCAGAGCTGGAGGACTTTTACAGAAAGCTTATATGCAACCAAACCAAACAGACATTTTGCAACGTCAAATACCAAATGTAGAACCAGTATAAAGTGCTCACGGTACCAGTAGTGATCGAGCAGTTCATGTAAAAAATTGCAGTTCTCAAATCTCAGTCAAGATATTTAGCAAATAGTCTGACGTACTGTAAGTATGTGAAACCTTAAAGCTACCTAACTTACAAAACCATAACAAAATAAAAATAAAATATAACAGTTTTACCACTAGTTTTTATATGCATGTATTTTGGCCCCTGTCACATGGATAAGCTTTTTCAGACAGAAAATAGAAACGTTGGCTGTTTGAACAAGACTTTTTGACTTGCATGTCACTACATACCAGTCAAAGCATGTGGTGTTTAAAATGCATCGATATTTTTGACTGAAGGTGTGAAAGTGTTTTTTTAAGAAATTAGCCCGGTTGCCAGATAGAAAAGGGAACAGTAAAGGGAATAGCCTTTTAAAGTGAAAGGTTTTTCACTGAGTAAGGGTAAAGATTATTCCAAATCTGGTCAGGGGCACGGTGCGTTATCTATTGCAAACCACGGAATAGCATTCTCGGTGTATGAATCCCAACACTAAGGAAAAATCCATACAGTTTCCTTGCTGTACAGTTTCATCTAACCACACAACAATATTCTCATGAATTTCTTATGAGATATCCTTCGTCATGAACACTCAACAACTTCTGAATCAACACTGCTTTTGTTTCCATGGTTTTTTAATAATGACTCATACCTGAAAAGTTAGAATTCCCGCCTCTCAAAGTTTGCTTTTGCACAAACACGACCTTAAATAACATGAGATTCTCTCCAAACCACACAAAGAAAAACAGCCACATTGACCATAGTTTGTCCACCTGCGCCTGGGACACATGAGGCCGGGGTGAGGGTCCATCGCTCAGGCTTTTCTGCCCAATGCTGAATGGAATGAAGCAGCAACCATTTTGGGCCCAAGGCAAACTTGTGCGATGGGGCTCTCCATGGATGCAATTTTAAATGGTGTATTTTATAGTGTGATAGAGGAAAGTGGAGGAGGTTATTATTGGTGTCTACGCTAAAATTAAGCTATTATATGCTGCTTAGATCATGCTCCTTTCTCCTCTTTCTTTCAAATAAGATTCGATAAGAGCCAGATGCAGTACATAAGTTTATAGAGATGAACTGCTGCTGGCCCTCTCCATTCAAAGACGATCCGTTGTGGAGCACTGATGAAGCTGCTTCAGAGGGAAAACTGAAAAAAGCTTTCAGCTCTTCTACAAATTTGGAATCATTGGATCAAGAGCTGTGTTTTGAACAGAGAGGGCAGGTCCAGGCTCAGAAGGGTCCATGAGTATGTGCGCTGACATGCTTGTAATCTGACTTCTTGCCAGTGGTGGCGTACCTGGAAACAGAATTATCAAATGAATTCTTATACCGCCTTTTTTCTTCTCAAAAACGGCTTTACAAACTGGTACAGAAGTTGGCTCTTGGCTCAACACTTGTTCATATTTTTTTTTTTTTTTTTTTGGACCAACCTAGTTTAGTCGATGTGGACTTTGTGTTAAATGAATGGCATATGTCAGGCTCGTGCTGGCTAATGCATGAACACTTGATACATGTGTCTTTCCTGTGGAAGTGGCTGCTTTGAAAAGGTCGGAAAAGTGATCACACATAAGTTTCAAAAGGCGTTCCTACACTTGTTAATGTTTACAGTCTATGGTTTTGAACAGAGATCTCAAGAACAGATTTTGACTCATGAGTTGCTAGTGAAACATTGGCAACAGGGTTGCTAAGGCAAGCTTTCCCCTGCAAATATTAAAGTGTATGTAATTTGGATGTACAGTAATAACACAATATTAAGAAGAAAAAGCAGGATTATAGAGAGCACTAAACCATAAAGCCTGAACAGTAACTGAACTAGAGGAGTTAATTTTCAATTTAGTTTGATAGGAGCCAGAAAGAGTTTACAGTTTTATTAGATTAGAGTCAACTTTATTGTCATTACAAAGTCAGAACAATGCAACAAAATGCAGTTTAGCGTCTAACTAGTACTTTATTATATGTTTAAGAACTATTCTGGGCCCCCTGGTATTAGGGGTATTTACAGGAGCCCCTGATTGCCTAATGGTACGTTTGCCCGGTAAACCAGTGCAAACGTAACTCAATGTTCCAACTCTTCAATTGTTCCTCTGGCACCAATGTGTGTTTATGAAGACTTTTTACCACATATTCAATATTGCTCAATAACTCCTATAGTTCCAATGGGAAATCTGCCCTGCACTCATGTCCTCTTTCTCCTGTCTGTCATGTTGATGTCGAAACGTCCGACTCCGCTTCATTCTCGTTTTAAACTAATAATTCATGGTGTGTTTCTGTGTTTGTTAGATTGGCTACTGGAACGACATCGACAAGCTGGTGCTGGTGCAGAATGAGAACGCGCTCTCCAATGACAGCTCAGCCATGGAGAACCGGACTGTTGTCGTGACCACCATCATGGTAATGTGCCCTCTCACTATTGCACTTGTCTCTCTAATTGGGTTACACTGGCTTGCTCTGAATTGCAAGTTACACCGCAGACAATATAATTCATGTGTGAGAATAAACTTTAAAAACATGGGCATGCAGAAGTGGTTAGATGCTGCTGGTTTGAGTAGCCTGGCCAGCCAGAACCACACCATTGTACAATATTCATTTTCAAATATGTGATTTGTCTGTCCCAAGCTGCCCATTTCTGAGCCGTGTTGCAGATCTTTTTTTTTGACTGTGACCGAATGTCCACTCTGTACGCTTCAAAAGTCCCGCCATTTTGTAGCAGTGTCCGAATGTCCACATAATTCACTGTTTTGTGCAATAAAAATGTCCTGAAAAGTAGTGAGCAGGGGATGTACACTGGACTGGTCAATAATGCTAGAATCTCTGCGAAACCATACGTTCATATGTCTAAATGAGAACCTATACAAAAGATATATTATATATATTTGTATGCACTGTTTACACAAAGTAATCGACATAAACACTTTTTGTGGTATAGATATTAGGTTACATCTTTTACTTTTACAAATATATCAACAAATAAACATTAGATATTTGGCTTTTTCTCACACTAAATAGGGTGACTTTACCTCATGCCTGTAATAAATGGCTCGTCCACAGCTGACAAGGAGCTTTCACAAAGGTTATTTTTTGTGTTTGGGGATTTTGGTGTATTTTGACGTCACGAACATTTCTAATTTTAACCTCTTAAAGTGGTTCTCACCCCCGCTCCTCGGAGCTTACGTCACTCACATTTCCTGTTCAAACCTTCCTCTAAATGGGCGTAGCCTGGAGGACTAAAGGGGGCGTGAACGAGACTGGGCCGTTTACATTGCTCTGGGCGGGGGGCTGCTGACGTCAGGTCTTGCTTCAGACGTCAGGTCTTGCTGCCGCGCCAGTGTTGGCGCCAGATTCAAAATTCTAATGTAGTAATACAGGTCGCCAGCAGATGGCGCCTCACAGACGGTTTTAGGCAGAAAGTTTAACTTTCAATTAATTTGCACCAAAGTGACAAAATTATGACCAGGATATGTAGACAACACTATTGGACACTCATTTATACTGTTTATCAGATTTGAGGGTGAGTTGTCCTTTAAGCTCGCAAGCCCCTGCCAACGGGGGCAAACGAGAAAAAAAATTAATCCGCTGGCAATAGCAGATGTATTTTTAACTTCATAATCCACAAGCTATATATCACTTTAAAGATTATTTTCTCAGCTATATTTATATGTAAGTGTAAACGATATCAGACTTTGCATTAAAAAGATATAACGCATAATATGGGCACAAAATAAATCGTGTTTGTATAAGTTTCTTACCTTTCATCTTCTGCAGCTCCTACAAATTAGACTTTCCCCATCCTTGCTCAGTCTCTTTCTCTCCGTAAGTCTTCATTTAAAAAGAATATCCACTTGTATTTCCCAAAGTATAATCCATTCTTCAGAAATAATCCAAAAATGTGCATTTTTCTGTTGCAAAAATTTCACCAAGTTTGAGCTTTGTTTAGCCACAAACATCATATCCACGTGTTCCTTGAGTCCTTAGCTTCAAAAAGAGAGGTTCCATGAAAAGAAAGGAGCAGGTTTCAGTCCGCAGGACCCTTGTGAAAAATACAAACCGCATCCACTTGCACAAGGTCCGTTTTTCCTTGTTGTTGATTACAGGCTAGCGCTATGTGCTAGCACTGAATGATTGACGTGTCTCAGTAGCCAATAAAAAGAGATTTCTTTTGATGGGTGGGACTTGTAGGAACTTTTTTCATTTTCACAGTAAAAGCGTGCGTAAAGACGCTGTTAGTACTGCTGCGCATATTTTATATGCATTTACACTACTAAAAAATTAATTTAGAAAAAATGTAAAATGAAATCACACAGATTTGTTACTTATAAGTACCAAAACTAAAAAATATGCTTTTTATGATGGTGAAATGTTAGTAAAGCAGTTTGGCACAATTTGGCACACATTTTGCCAAATTGGTTCCGAATGGCACTACTTGATAAAAAAGAGAAACTGCATAAAAACTATAAAACTTAGAAGTCTGAAACTTAAGACAGTTGTTGTCAACAACACAATTAACAAATTAGCGTTGAAAATGTTCTTCCAATGAAGTAGGCTTTTTTAGGGCATTTATACATTGAATATTTTAGGCGAGGCAAAAAAAAAAAAGGTTTTTTTCCCAAACTTCAAAGGATGCAGAGTGAAATAGGAATGACATACATTATTTCAGTGTATATTTACATAAACTAGAAGGGCCTAGCTTTAAAATGATGCATCCCACAAGCATGTGAGATGTAAGATGTGTTTTTAAATAAGCAAAGACATTTGGGTATGCCAAACTTTTGTGCACGAGCCAAAACAGATGTAGGAGCTTGTTAAATCCATACATTTTCTTTTAATCCATTCTTCAATACAACAAACTTGACTCGCTCCGGCTCTGATTGGTCAGAGGGCTCACACGTCTCTTTGTGCACAAGCATGAGCGAGCGTGACATTCAGTGCTGTGAATGTCCTTTTGATTCATATGTGACCTTTGATGAGACTAGGTTTCATCATGTGACATAAAATATATTTCAAAGATGTTTTTACTCTTGATGTCAATTTTTGGTAGATCAGTATCATTTGAGAAGGAAGAACAAGGAAGCATGAACTTTCATTACTGCAATTTGGATGCAGGGCAAGTTCTGCGTTCCCTGTTCTGGGATCTCTGGCTGGTCAAGCTATGAAAACACACTCAAGTCCAGCCAACCCATTGTTCTGAGCCAATTTAATTTATATACATATTATCATTGTTTATCCTTATGACTTATACTGTATTAAGAGTGGTTTGTGCACGTTTGAGCCATCAAAATGCAATCCCCTTTTTTTTTTTGGCCTGATACGCAGTCTCCTGTCTGGAATAGGGCTGGAAAGTCTCGTCCCAGAAGCACTTCCGGTTCTTTGCTCGGACACAAACAAACCGCCAGCTGTTTGAAGAGGCTGTTTAAATGAATGCTGCAAAAGGCTCTGCTTTGTTTTTGGCTGTAATCATCAAAGTTTACACGAAGACCAACTGAAGCTGTGGGAAAAGCTATGCAGTTCTGATAAAACAAGTCCCGTTCCTCCGCTCTTCCCGGTTCTTTCGTTCTATGGTCACGCCATCCACGTGCAAATCCATATCCATGTATTATCCATATTGGGAGACGCTAGCTCCGTCAACAACAGTGGGTGTGTGTGGGGGGCGATAGCTTCGCGGGTGCGGGGAGGGGAGCAGAAAGAGAGAGGCCAGCGGGTCCGCGGCTTCAAAATCCCAAAGTCAGTTAGTGCAGCTTTAAATAGAAACTCCAGGACATGGCCAGAGTTCACAACTAATTCTGACCGCTCACTCAGTTTTTTTGTCCCAGAGACGAAATGTGTCCAAAACAACACAGAAAAATCCATTAAGGAGTAAAAAGTTGGCGATCTCAGCACCATACAACCGGCACGTGTGGTTTGTTTGTATCCATCCATCCATCCATCCATTTTCTTCCGCTTTATCCGTTGCCGGGTCGCGGGGGCAGCAGTCTAAGCAGAGACGCCCAGACTTCCCTATCCACACACACTTCCTCCAGCTCGTCCGGAGGGACCCCAAGGCGTTCCCAGGCCAGCTGAGAGACATAGTCCCTCCAGCGTGTCCTAGGTCTTCCGCGGGGCCTCCTCCCGGTGGGACGTGCCCGGAACACCTCCCCAGGGAGGCGTCCAGGAGGCCTCCGGAACAGATGCCTGAGCCACCTCAACTGGTTCCTCTCGACGTGGAGAAGCAGCGGCTCTACTCCGAGCTCCTCCCGTGTGACTGAGCTCCTCACCCTATCTCTAAGGGAGCGCCCAGCCACTCTGCGGAGGAAGCTCATTTCGACCGCTTGTATCCGCGATCTCGTTCTTTCGGTCATTACCCAAAGCTCATGACCATAGGTGAGGGAGGGAACGAAGATTGACCGGTAAATTGAGAGCTTTGCCTTTCGGCTCAGCTCCTCTTCACCACAACGGTCCGATACAGCGACCGCATCACTGCGCATGCTGCACCGATCCGCCTGTCAATCTCACGCTCCATTCTTCCCTCACTCGTGAACAAGACCCCGAGATACTTGAACTCCTCCACTTGAGGAAGGACCTCTCCACCCACCTGTAGAGGGCAAGGCACCTTTTTCCGGTCGAGCACCATGGCCTCGGATTTGGAGGTGCTGATTCTCATCCCAGCCGCTTCACACTCGGCTGCAAACCGCCCCAGTGCATGCTGCAGGTCCTGGTTCGTTGGAGCCAACAGGACAACATCGTCCGCAAACAGCAGAGATGAAATCCTGTGGTCTCCAAACCGGACCGCCTCGGACCCCTGGCTGCGCCTAGATATTCTGTCCATAAATACAGTGAACAGAACCGGTGACAAAGGGCAGCCCTGTCGGAGGACAACATTCACCGGGAACAGGTCTGACTTACTGCCGGCAATGCGAACACAGCTCTGGCTCCGGTCATACAGGGATCGGATGGCCCTCAGCAGAGGACCTCCGACCCCGTACTCCTGGAGAACCCCCCAAAGGACACCCCGGGGAACACAGTCGAACGCCTTCTCCAAATCCACAAAGCACATGTGGACAGGTTGGGCGAACTCCCATGAACCCTCGAGTATCCGATGGAGAGTATAGAGCTGGTCCAGTGTTCCGCGACCGGGACGAAAACCACACTGCCCCTCCTGGATCCGAGATTTGACCATCGGCCGTAGCCTCCTCTCCAGTACCTTGGAGTAGACCTTACCGGGGAGGCTGAGGAGTGTGATCCCACGTTAATTGGAACACACCCTCCGGTCTCCCTTCTTGTAGAGAGGGACCACCACCCCGGTCTGCCACTCCATTGGCACTGCCCCCGATCGCCACGCGATGTTGCAGAGACGTGTCAGCCAAGACAGTCCTACAACATCCAGAGACTTTAGATAATCAGGGCGGATCTCATCCACA